TTTGGACCGAATCGTTTGCAATGATTTTTGTTTGTACTTCAAACCGTCAAAATCGATTGAAGGAAAGTTTTATTTGACCAAAGCAAAAAAATTGATCGAGACAAATTTACTTCAGAAGGGCCTATTCATTCATACGTTTCGAAGTGTTTCAATATTTCCATACATTCATAATTAATGTTTGGTCCTAAAATAGTTGTTATAGGGACTGGTCAAATGAACTGCTGTAAAATATGTATATATTGTATATTATTCTATCTTTTACTTAAATAAATAAATAAATAAATAAAAAAAAAGGTCAATACAAACAATCAATGATTGTGTTCTGTTGAAGTGACGAGAGAACCGTTGGCGTTGTCACTTGAAAGAACGAGCGAAACCATTGAAATCGCACCGTTTCTATTTCCCTCTGTCTCATTTGGTGCTTGGATAAATACACTGAATGCGAAGTGCATTGCATTGAAAATACGACAATTTGTTACGTAGTTATTTGGGCTGTTGTTATTGTTTGTTTATTTTTTATTGTCTCTTGAAAAAATGATTGCAACAATATATTCACTCGTGTCGATGACGTACGAATCGAATGAAAACATATGAGTTCTAACGAAGCCACTAACCAAAATGACAAGCAACAGAGACAAAGGGAAGGAAGAAACGAGCGGTTCGAAATGAGCGCGTGCATATTCAAATCTCGTTGTTGACAATGTAAGAGCGTGCGAGGGGAAAAAGCATAGAATTGGTGCTTGAGAGCGCGCGCTTTCGAATTGAAGACGACGACAACGACGATGCCGATGATGAAGACAAAAAAAATAATAAGGAAAAATTATAATAGCCATAATGAAGTGAAATTGCTGTTTAGAAGTGTAACAAAGCGCGCGTTGTCGACAACGACGACGACGACGACCATCGCGCACATGAGCAAAAACACGAAAATCGGGAATGGTTAGAAATTTTTTTTTATTCAAATATCGCGGTACTGTGGTCTTTTTTCTTTAAAAGTGATCCTAAAGTATCGGCCAATACCATTTTCATATGAAGGTAGGCGTTTATAGTGTGCCATTTCAACGTAGTTGTGCTTGTGCCTCGTTTTGTGTCAAAATGAGCGAAAATACACAACCGAACAAAAAGTCAATTTAAATATATAATTTTCGTTATCATTACTATTATTCAATTTTATTTATTTGATTACGATGTAATCGTGCAATTTTGGCAAATTTTGCAATGAATACATCTTATTAATGTGCATTTGAAGGCTCTGAAAGGTGCCGCAAATTGGAATGTAACCTTCCAGTCTAAAATTCCCGAAAGTTTTTTTTTTCATGTATACCTTTATCAAGAATAATGACGCTATATTAGTTTTTTTTAAGAGTTTTCTGCCTATTTTGTGGAAAATAAAAAATATTAGTTACTTTATTAGACTAAAACACTTATACGAGCCTTCAGACATGTGTAACGAGCCAGTCTATGTTACATTGAAAAAATCGAGATTATTTGATGACAGGTTTTTTTCTTTGTAAACCAATCCAGAACTGAACACCACAAAGAATGATAACACTTCTATTCTTTTTCTACCCATTTGAATCAATTTCGAGTGTATTATTGCATTTATTTCAACCGTCGATGTACTTTGTAACGATCCAGTCTTTTATGTGTAACCTTCCAGTCCTTTTTTTGATCAGAGAAATCGGAATCGTTTATGACAAATTTCTATTACAAATCGATTCGAAACCAAAAATCATGATAAATTCTCGTATTTCTATTTGTTATCGACTGATTTGAATCTAATTTGAATTTGATATTTGGTTTATTTAGCCCGAGGAATTTTGAGTAACGAGGCAGTCTTTTTTCTGTAACCTTCCAGTCCGTATATTTTGGATCATAGAGCGACTCGAATTGATGTGAATATATATGTATATATATATATATCGAATCTACTGTACATGCTATAATATCGTGAATATTCAATTCTGAAGTTTTCGGCTCATCGCCTAAACGTAAATAAAATGACAGTAGTGAGCGAGTTGTCATTTAGTAAGACATGTGTACGCATACCAATCGAACTCAATCAGTTTTAAAATACATACACTCGCTTGTTTGTTCATTTCGCTCGCTCATTCAGTCGCGCTGCTGTACGAAGCAACGAGCAAAAGGTCGGCGACGCGCGCGAGAGAAAGAGCAAAAAATATGGTACTACCACTACACCGGCGTTGACAGAGAGACGGTTCGACCATAGAAACAGTTGTTTCCTTTTCAGCTAGAAACTAAACCTATACACAAGCTTCAAACCGAGACCGCCACAACGAGCGCTCGTTTGAGCTCCACACACGTGTGCGTGCGTGTGTGCACATATGTATGTGTGCGTATGAATTTGTCAAAAAAAAAATTGAATTCTCTCTCTCCTTTTGATGGTCTCGCGTATCGGCCATCAGTTTTTATTCAGGCTTTGTCAGTGAACGACGTGCTTTTTTTAAACGATCCCCCCAGCCATCACAACTGTGACAATTTATTGCAAACTTTTGTTTTTTGCTGCTACCAACTGTTAAACCAAGTCAAATCAAAAAAAAAAACCAACATTCTGCTGACAGTATCAGTTTCATATTCTGATTGGAATATTTTACAAACAACTTTTTTCTTCTGTCGTCAATCGTGTACGTGTTTTACTCTTCGGAAAAAGAATCGCAGAGCCAACCGTAATATACAGCGTATTGAGATCCGACTGCGTCAAATATCATCAACACATCGTAGCTCAATCGACATTGAAGCAAACCTTTTTCAACACAATTTGATTCGCAAAACTGAGAATTTTAACACGGGAAACCAAAAATACCGTCAAATTTAAAATTCCATTCGAAAAGGAAACATAAAAATTTGAAAAATCTTCTCTTGTTATCTCTTCACAAGTGAAATAGCGTCAACAAGCACAATAACGCATACAAATACCAACGAAAAATCCTCGAATAGGAAAACATTATTACGTTGAACGGCTAGCGCTAAACGACAACTGTTTTTTTGTTATTGTTGTTGTGTAGTTCTCTCTGTGCTGCACAAAACGCGAAAAAGAAAGAAATATCGACGAAAAATAAAATTTATGTATTTAAAGAGTATCAACACGTTTTAAGGAGAAAAAATTCCGTGCCAGAAACAAGAAGAAGCAGAAAATAACACCCAGAGATCTAAAAAGAAACACACATTGAGTCGATTGATTGCAATTTTTTTTTAAACAGTGGTGTTGTGTGTTTGTGTTCAGTGTTTTGTGAGCCCCACCAATTGAATGTTTGATATGTTTATTTATGAACAATTGCTAATGAACGATTTCCAAAATGTTGGCTTCATCAGTAGAATCCATTTGACAGCACGCGTGTGCGAATGAACTAGAGAGAGATTCATTTTAGCGAAACGAATACCGATCGACAGGGCGAGAGCGAGAGAGAGAGAGAAAGGCTGTAAGAAAGAAAGCGAAATCTAGCGAGAGCGCGAGAGAGTTTTTTTTTATTTTTTTGATAAAAATTCTAAAAAGAATTTTTTTTTGTTTCGTAGAAGAGAACGTTTTTTTTTGTTTTGGTTTTTACAAGCGCATCGTGCGGTATAAAATCGGAGTGTTTCGAATAAAGAATCGAATTTGTTTGTGAACAGAACAAACACAGCAAAGCAAGAGCAGGAAGAAGAAGAAGGAACCGTGTTTTAACAAAAAAACAAGCATTTTTAGCGGTGCGTGTGAATACAACATAAATATTTTTGTTCGGTTCGCATTTGGCAACAACAGCAAATGCAGACACAAAGAGTCCAAACAACGAGAAAAGCATTTCGTGTAAATAGTGGCTTTAGTTTAAACCCACTTGAAATAAACGAAGCAAGCAAGATTCAACCGATTGTCGACATTTCGTGAATGCAGTGAATGAGCGCCAATCACAAACAGTGCGATCAAAACAATTGCCTATTTGCAAATATACACGAAGAGTAGATAAATCGCTCGATAAAGGAGTAATCGCAAGAAGAAACAGCAAAAGAAATAATCACTAAAACGAGCCAAAAGGAACAATTTCTTACCGAGAAAAAGAATATTTCTTGAAGAAAAAAAAACCGAATATTTTTCTCAAACAGAGTTCTCGCAAACGAAAAGAAGAAGAAGAAGCAGAAAACACCATCAAAAGGCAGAAGATGCAACAATTGAATTGAATAAGCGCATCACAAGAGCGAAAATTAACAACTATCTTAAAAATAGACATTTAGTTAGTGCAGTGCTGGCACAAACAAAAACACTCCAAACCATTCAATCATCACGATAGACAAATCAAACAAAATTGTTTCTAACGAGAAATCCAACTTTCAAAGCAATAAAACATTCATTATTTGTGAACCATATTCGATATAGATCAAAACAAACAAGAGACAGAGACAGAGAAAGAAGTGAATTCAACGCGTGATAAGATCATTGCATTTTATTATTTTGTGGCTGGTTTATTGGTCAAGCGATAGTGTATTTGTGAGTTTGATGTGATAATTGGAATCGTTTTGTTTCGTTGTGGTTATTTGTCGTCGGCCAATTGTTGCACGCCCCGTTATCAAACGACAATCTAAGTGTGACAGATAGACAGAGAATTGACTAACACACATGACAATCTATGTGAACTATTTAAACGATAATAAAGAAAAAAAAACACCATCAAAACTAAGACGTCAACCAATTTATGTGCAAGCAGTGATTTTTGATTCAGAACATTAAAAGAAAAACGAGTACAAAACAAAGCGAACCAAAAAAAAACATAAACAATTTCATAATTTTGATGTTAAAAATTCTCGGTAAACATTTATCGACGCATAATTTTGATCGGAAAATTCATTAAACACCAGTGCAAAAGAAGCGAGAACATTTTACACAAATCCGGCTAAAGCCAAACACACACACAAAAAGAAAAAGCCAAACGGAAAAAAAACATTTAATTTCCTTGTGTTATTGTGTTGATTTTAAAAATTCCGCTCTTCGCAAAGATTCGCTTGAACATATGGCTACAGTGGTTAAAGGATCCGAATTCATTGTATACATGTTAGACAAAATGCTGTTGAAAATTGAAAACACCCTATTGAGAAGTCATCGTCAACGCGAAACCACCGGCATCAAGAAATTATACAATTCATTTTTTGTCATGTTTTAATTAATTTCGCATTCGGGGCCGATATCCGTTCGTCATAGCATATCAATTTATATGTGTGTATATGTGTAAACGGAATCACATTTGTTCGACAATTGTTCAACCAACCGAAAAATATACAGATTGAGAGAGAAAACTAACAAATCCACGAAACATTTTTTTTGCCGAGAAAAGTGAAAAAAAAAAATCACGTAGAGAAAGAGAACCATTTTGTCGATTAGTTCAAATTAATCAACAACTACAAAATCAAATCCCATCCACCCCAGCCCTCACAAAAGTCAGAGTTGAAAGAGCGTAGAAATCAAGCAACAACAGAATTGGGTTAAATTGCTGAATCAAGCAAAACCGATATTCAAATAATAACAACAACGGAGATACTATCAAAATCGATCGACCAGGTGAATTGAACTTGCTTCGAGACGATAAGAACAGCAACCAGGAAGTTAAACCACGTCTGAGATCACGAGTTCGCGAAGAAACAGCGCGAGATCACCAAAAAAACCAGCACGAGATTCGAAAATTTGAAGCTTAAACGTTTGAACACAGAAACACTGGAGTCAACCAACCAACGAAATTGCATTCTCGTCGAATGAAAAATCATCAATTTTGAAGCCAGAAATTCGTTTTCCCAGCGTCGTCCTTGAGCCAAATCACCACCACAACATTTGAACCACGCATTGTTTGGACATCTTTTAACACAGCAGAAAAAAAAACAATTTTTTTTTTTTGAAAAAACAGAACCACGAGAGAATAAAGGTGATTCAAAAAGAAGCCAAAAGAAAAATTATACTTTCTATACGCCATCAGCTCGAAATCGATCGTCCCGGAGACAAACAACTCCGCGTTTCCGACATTCGTGCAAAGAACATTGGGACACAGAAACGTGTGAAACAGTGATTGCGTTTCGGGTAATTATCAAATTAAATCAAACATTGTTCTTGTCGTTAATTGATATATATTTGATGGCCAATTCTTGTCGTTGTTGTTTATAAACATTTTAATATTTTGTTGCTGTTGCTTTTATTTTGTATCTAAGTATTACATTTTGTTGTTTTAAAAAAAAAGAACACTATAATTTGGGAAGTTTAAGCCATTTTATTTGGTTTCTAATATTAATTTGGTGTGTGAATAATTGTTTATTACCCGTTTTTTTTGCTGCTAAAAATCGGTGTGTTATTGTCTAATTTAATATAATAATTTGTAAAATAATTTGTACTTTTCCTTCGTATTTAACATTAACTGCGGGGGTGTTGGTTTAAAAATAATCTAATTTCTATCATATAAAGAAAAAATACCCACCCAAACGCGTGTAACGACAATATTGAACTCATAACAATCTATATGAAATATTTGTGCTTTATATTTTGAGTTCGATCGATACAAAGAGAATTGACACCGCCCTCACACAAAAGATACATTTGACATTGGGCAATCATCAATAGCTTTGACAATAAACGTACGCGCTCGCGCACCCTCATTTATTTCTTATCTACTTAGTTTAACTTGTAAATTTTCCGAATAAGAATAAGTTTAAATCGGACGAATTACGTTCGTTAAAAAGTTTGTGATCGAATCAAGAGAAAATAATCAACAAATAATAATCTCGGTGAAAATAATTGAAGTTAGAAGATACTTCACTCGACATTTCCATTGTGATCAATCCGAAAGCAAAACAAACAAAAAAACGCTTCGTCGTCAGCCTAATTCAACTTCTAGCAATTCAGCTTACCAGTTCAACTAGCTCATTTCGATTAGATCCAATCGAATCACGGCATTTTGAGCCAATAACAAAAAAAAAATACTGTACAACTCAGGGTAAAGTCACATTTTCACACTGAAAAATATAAACAATACAAAGAATCTATTCGCTTTCACTTAGGCTATGAATCGACATCACTCATTTTTCGATTTTGCCGTTTAGATGCTCAATTAGATTCTCGCATTCATTCGATTTGGAAGAAAGAGCATATTCTTCAAATTTCTAACCATCATCGTCTTTATCATGAATGTCTCTCTCTCTCACTCTCTTTTTATATGCGTGCCCTAGACTAACTCCATCTGAAAATCATTGCCATTAACAAGATCATACTTTGAGAGAAACGATTTTCGACCTTTCTTCGGGGAGTTTCTTTAATTTTTTCTGATATTTACAAAAATGATCATTCAACTCAACAACAAAAATAACCTAACAAATACAATGGATTTAATACATTCAACTTTGATAAGTAGAAATTCGATAGTAACAAATTTTTTTTCAAGGAAAAGTCAAATTTAACCAATTTATGAAAAAGAATGAAGCAATTAAAAAATTGAATTAACCATGTTTGGTGTAAAAACTTACTAACTCTTTTTTGTGCAAGAACTTTCTAACTTTCACATCCACAACTCCTTTGTTTATAACACATTTTGATGGACCTTTCTTGAATGTTTGTTATGCCAACCTGTTTCTTTCTTTTCTTTTTGATTTTGATTTGGATTTGTACTTACAATCCTCTATCAAATAGATACTAGCAAAGGTACAATTTATGCAAACGTGGACAATTTTTGAACAACCGGAAATATGAGTTGAAAAATATTGAGCTTTGATTTTTAATTTGAACATTTTTCAAACAAAAATGGGACTAATTTCTTTTATTAGAGGTCGCTACATTAGAACGTTTCAGCTTTTTTTGGCATTACTGAAAATGCGACCAAGCTGCTATTTTCTTCAAATCATTTGGTTCGAATGATGAAAGAGGACGGGGCAAATTCTTGGCAATTTTATCAGATTTTGATCATTTTTCGAATTTTTCAACCAAAAATTGTTTTGCAAAATGTATAAATTGGCACCGAAAAGCATCCAAAATTAAATGATAAAGAATCCTTCTTTTCCTTCTGTTAAAAAAAATCTAAATATTATTTTTCTTTCTGTGTCATTTATTGTTTCCATCCACTTGTAGCCAGGGTGTATAACGCCAGACGCACGAAGACACAATAGCAATTGCGTTGCACATATTTTTGATCAAACGGTGGAAAACGAAATAGTACGATATATTTTCTCGATATCGTACAACCCCTCGAAAGACGGGTATCGAGATAGAGAGAAGAAAAAAAACGTTACGCGATTCTGATTGACGAAGGAACTTTCTTGTCTTCATTGCAAGTGAGTTGAATTGAACCGGTATTCGACGAGGAAATTCCTTCGGGCCAGACCTCATACCAACGAGATTTCGATTCGAACAGGCGCACGGTAAGAGATAGAGACAGAGCGAGACAGAGACACTAAAGGTTACAACAGTTCATTCGGAAATTGAATTGAATCCGATTGGTAAGATACAGGTGTGAAAGTGAGAGGAAATCGAGGCAATTCGTAGAGAAAAAGAGAGCGCGCAGTTCGCTAAAGTCTCTAGCCAAAATCGACGATCGATCGAACGAACGTCGACACTGCTTTCCGCCACCCCTCAATTACCAATCGCTCAACGCAACCTTTCGGGTGTTTTTTTTTGTCTGTTACGAATGGCGATATCGGTTGCAAAGCAATACTGCCCGGATTTCAACAGCCTGATTGATCCTCTGCGCACGCTGCAGAGCTTTGACTACTTTGGTTCACACACGGATCAGATGGAATTTACCATTACCACTGACTCGGATGAGGTGAGTACGATTTTTTACGCTTCATTTTTTGTTCTCGAATATTAATTTTATGCTGGTGGTCATAAATTCACGAAATGTTGACATAATAGCCACTTGAATCATAAATTGTCTCTTAAATCATACATCGGGTTCAGCGAGAGAGCATGAAAATTAAGTTCACTGACCCATTCCATCCATACGAATCATGATCCGCTTAATCTCTGTCTCGGCCATATTTGTTTTCTTATGTTTTACAACGATATTTTTGGATACGAATGCTTAGTTTTTTAATTGCACCCTTTAAACACACAATAACTGTCTTTAGCATTCGTTTGTTCGTTCGTTTATTTGTTTTATTGATGTATGCCGAAATACCGCAGAAGAAGGCGAAATTGCCGTTTTTAATCGTCACTCTAGTGATCGGTCAAACTGACAAAAACATCATAAAATTTGTGAAGAGCGAGAGAGAAATGGAGGATTATGTTCTTGTTGTGTGTGTGTGTGTGTGTGTGTGTGCGTATGTGTTTGTTCCTTTTATTTTTTGTTCATCAGCTCTGACTTTTCGGACCAAATATGATCGTTTTTGCATGATAACTGCAGGTTGTAAATGTTAAAAATAAAAAGCACATGACCATTTTGTTGTTCATTATTCTCGATTGACTGAGACATATCACTGTTCGGATGGATGTGTCACACAACCTAGCCTCCCCATTAATATCATTCCGGCCATAAAAATGGGGAACAAAAAGCGTTGAATGTCTTAAAATTCAATCATAAAATGCAAATGAATGCGAACAGCGTTAATCGAAATAAATTCAAACGCTGCTAAACGCACACGCCATCCAATACACTTTGATCTAAATGGGCAATAACAATCTTCTTTTTTAGTTTGAATACGAATTTCTTCGTTATTGTGGTCGTCGTCGTTGTTGTTGTTGAATTTTTGAGAGAACGCCACACTTTGATTGAATGAATGCGACTTTTAGGCCCCCTTGGTCGATTTAAAATGACGATGAACAACTTAACACAACAGACGTACGAAACAAATCGCAAAACGTTTATGCCATCACAATCTGTTTATCACAATACTTTGGCCGAACAGATCGAAAGTGTTATCGCATCGCGTATCAGATTCGCAGCCACAAAAAACCCAGACACAATCACACGTTTGAAGACACTTGAAAAAAAAAGTGTGTTTTGCATGATCACGACAACTAGGGGGGAAAATACAGTGATAAAGAGAGAGAGAAACAGGGAGAAAGCGAGATAGAGAGTAAGAGAGGGAGAAAGAAACGTACTGAAAGCAAAGTTAGGGAAATGCACATGCTTTTGCTTCGTGAACACGATTGATTCATTGGTGTTCCAATCAAAAACGCAGATTTTTTTTATAA